AATGGTAGCCAGAGTAAATAATATTTTTTTCTCTCAATCACTTAACAAACTTCTAATTCATATGTAGTTCAACACTAATATATATTTTAAAAGTAAGCTAATCGAACACCCAAAAATTAGTGTTGAATATATGTTTGGGCGTATTCTCTTACTACATTTGACAGGCTTCAGAGCCAGCTGCATGTTCTACACCAAAACAAAAAGTAACTGCTGACTACATTATTTGACCAAACTGGTCTAATCTCTCATGTTATATTTTTGGCAGGTTTCCTATTATTTCTTTTGCAATTCCGTTTTGTTTACTTCTGTTTTCCTCTCTAAATTCCCTGCAATGGGCCCTTCCATACCGATTGGAATTGTCTAAGTTTTATGCATTCCTTTTCTTTGTTAGCGGATATTTGACATATTTTTGCTATTCAACAGAACGATGTCCAAATCCTTCTGCATACTTAGGCCAGATTCTACATATGAACCTGGTTAGTATCTGTTCTATATTTGCAGCACTCAATGAATCCAGTGAGAAGGGGGTGATCATGATGGCAAGACTGCTCCGGGTAAGTACATTAGTGTCCTTACGTGCCCTCCTGCTCCTCTGAATTTTCTGTATGCGCTGTCTCTTCATCATTACAGCGCTCCTGCCTTATCTGTAAGTGCTCATGACTGTGGTGGCTTATCTTTATGGCGGGTCTGTGAACTCTCCAACCTCCACAACAGCCTCTCCGCACAAATCCCGTGACCACCATCTCCCTTCCTTGGCTGCCAGGGGGAGCGCAGTCGGGCTGCCACCATGGCAGGGGACACAAAATTCTTTCTAAGGCGGAGTTCTAAACGCGACGGGACGCTCGGAGCGGGCAGGGTGGAGGGGAGCGGAGTTCCGCCCTGCTCCCGGCCCTTGCTGCGTCCATCCCGTCCCGTCCTGTCCCGTCCCCGCCGGACCCGAGCCCACGCACGAGCCCGACCCCGCCCGGCCGCCGTCTCGCCCCTCCTTCGCGGCGCTCGCTGCCGCGCACGGGGCTCGAAAGATGGAGGACTACGGGCGATTCTTGGCGCTGCTGGCCTCTACGCTGCTGGTC